TAAAGTCAACTAAAAATGAATGAAAAATATATTAAAAATAAATTATTTCAATGAATTAGAAACTATGAAATGAAAATTGCATGAAATGAATGAATATGAATATTAATTTTAATTCATTTTTTATAAAAATCTTTTTAAATCCTTTTTTTTAATCCTTCGTGGCGAAAAATTATATACTATATAAAATTGTATAAAATTATATAAATTATATACTATATAAAATTATATTATATAAAAATTATAAAAAATTAATTATAAATTATATTCCCAAAAAGAATTTCGGGACATTTTAATGAAACAATTTTAAGTTATATTCATTTAATTTCATGCAATTTGTCATATATTTAGTATAATTATCATTAAAAAATAAATAATAAAGAACTCAAAAAATCACCAAAAGTTATACGAAAAGATCCAAAAGATCCAAAGAATACTCATTTGCTATAGCACATATTCACACTAATTCCAAGTGGTCAATTAATATTTCACTGAGCAGTTTAATGTGGCATAGAAATTCACTTTTGTCTAACGTAGTACCAATTAATATTTGAATGTTGAAGATTTGAAGATTTTTTATGAGCACTAAAAAATTTATTAGAAGCTTCTCCGAGCCAAAGAGCATTAAATCATTGCGAAAACACTCTAAATTCCATAAAAAAGGGCACACGCAACGGCACTCCCAGATTTCTACTCATAAACGAATGTAAACTACTTCATTATGCGGTGAAAATATGGTCTTCAATTATAACATTATTGGAAAAATTTTTTTATATCGAAACGAAACATCGAAATTTATCGGAATGTGGTTGCATACTTCAAAAATGGTTTGTGTTATGATACAGCGATGGCAACCAAGGATTCCATGAAAACCGAAAAATCCTTGAAATCCTTGAATTAGCGTATGAAATTTCATAATTGAATGGTTGAAACAGCAAATTTCTTTGGCATTTAAAAATATTAACGATATGCTTTTGCTTTTTTATAATATTTTTATTTAATATCCAATCATTATTAAATAAAATTTCCTCAGCGAATTCAGCAATGCTTGCGACAATCAAAATATTTACAAAGAATTTAGTACTGCAATACTCAAAGCGAATAATCCACTGCGGAAAGCGAATTTTCTTCGGAAAGTATGCACCATATGCCAAATTTTTATTCCACTAATTTTTTTCTATTAATCAACAATACCATTAAAAAAACTTCCCAGTATGGAAGTTGTGCGAATAGATTGAAATTAAGTGAAACCAATGTACCACTAAAAATCGTTTCCAATCCAAAAATTATAGTCCGCAAGATTTTATTAATTTTCTTACAAATAATTTTGAATTGCATTTATTTTCATATAATTTGAGATGTAAACTTTTTACTGATAAAATTTGGATGAAAATTAATGGCATTCAAAAATTCATTGAAAGCTTTTCCGAGCCAAAAAAATAATAATTCGTTGGGAAAACGAAACTTCCATGCAAATTTATTTCGAGCGATGAAATAATTTTTCACTAAGCGGATTTTACATGGCATGAAATCCATTCTCGGTTGACGTTGTGCCAATAATCCAATTCGTCTACTTAAACAGGTCGGTGATCATCGTTCGCGACTTCGCTAATCTACAACATGCTGGTGGTGTTCGTTTTTCTGACATTCGCATTAGTAAGTTTTTTTCGTTCCTAAAAAA